TTTTTTATAGAAAAAAATTCTAACAAAATTTTCCCTTTAAAATCACTAAATCTCATGGTCATTAGAACACCAACTGTTTCATTTTAATTGCTTTATAGTTACATTAATGTATCTATTTTTACTGATTTTATTGCGCTTTTATTAATTTAATGGCATCTTTTGACATTTTCCGCTTTTACTTTTGAGGGTTATATTCTCAAAACTATGACTGTATATAGTTACTGTTTGAAAGCCGGCGCAATTCAGTTTTGCTTTTATTTTGAAGCGAACGAGTCGACCCGGAAACGCTTCCTTGTTAGCGAGTAGAACTCTTTCACAGTTTTAGGATAGAAATCTGCGACTCTGTGTTCGCCCGACGACGTTCCGGGTTGATGGACAGGATAGTTGATAGCTCTAAGAAGCATAGGTTTTGCTGGTGTCATACTGAATGTCGTGCTACATTTTAATGGCGCGCTTTACCGAGTAGGCAGTCGGTAGGTACCGTTTTTACGTTTGTAACCGCGGAGTTGGCTTCATGAGGTTTATTGAGAAATGTCAGATTTTCCAGCTCCTTCAATGAGACTTAGCTCACAGTCAGTTATTATACCGTAGCCCCAGCTGTTGTCATTTTGCTGATCAAACGTAGCCTCTTCCTATTCCAGTAACACGGTGGTGGTGTTCTAGATACTAATGCTATGTAAAGTTGCTGTCATTTGATTTTATTTTAAAAAGCTGCTGGTGTTTACTAGAAATTAGAGTTGGTATAATACGTTTGCGTAACCCACTGCGACTGTGTATTTGTAAATGTAGTCACAGAACTGAGTGAGCGGTGTCCTCCTTTACCTCCTCCTTACGTAGCAGCAGGTGTTCTCTATGCAGTCTGCCTGAGACCTGAGAGCGTCAGTCGGTTGAGCTGGAGTTCTCGTGGCGGAGAGCAGAGCACCATGTCAGGCAACCAGTCATGCCTGACGGGCGCGGAGGACACGCTCTCTCTCTTGGTATGCACCCTGTCCAAGGACTTGATAATGAAACCGAGCTCACCTAGAAAGAAATGTATTATTTATTTAGCATCAGCTTTGGTGTTCATGCATGATTTTATTTGAATAACATTTTCCATAATAGAGGGATAACACTGTCGCACCATCAGATCTTTCTGTTTGCATGTTCCTCCCACAGTCCAAAGAGATCCGTGAGTCTAAATCACCCATAGTGTCAGCCCTGCGACAGACTAGCGACCTGTCAGGTGTACCCTGCCTCGTGCCCTTACACAGCTGGGATTGGCTCCAGCCCGCCTCAAGGAGAAGCGGAAAAAGCTGCATGGATGGATTTTTCACAATATTTTTCACAAGTGGATAATAAGTCCCACAGTGTGCATGATGGGATGTCTCTCCAGCCCTCTTTGAGGCCCACTCCTCCACAGAGGAGGCGTTCAGATTTCGGCCCCACGCCGTTCTAAATTTAAATGTAGATCATTTGTCCTGAAATGTAGTTGTTATTACGATCTCACCTGGTATCAGTAAGAGTGTTATACCATCACTGCATCACATGTTAAGTATTGAAAGGAGCTTCTATAGAAACTCTAGATTCTCCCTCAGTGGTATTTTATGTCCAACTGTAATGTTACATAACACAGTTAGCCAATGCTAATACAAGAACGTGTTACGTATTTTAAAGTTATTCATCCAGTAATTATTGAGATGTTTTCACCTGGATGTTAGTATTGACATTCTGGTCCTGGTCGACAGGTGTGTTTGTTTCATGCATGGGAGGAATGGGCAGGTCTTGATCAAGAGGACTACCTGAGTGTCTTGGAATACCTGTTGTGGGTCTTCACACCCCTAGCCATCGTCTTCATTGTGCCTTTCCTCATCGTTATCTTGCTTTACCTCTCTATACTCTTCCTTCACGTCTACAAGGTAAGTAAACAGTGCTTACACTCGCAGTCACACAAATAGAGTAACCTTCACTGTTTAGTTATCGTCTGCAGTTCCCTCCATAATGTTTGGGACAAAAACACCATGTTAGTAGCTTTGCTTTGCTTCTCGACGTCTACGCAGTGTTTGTAGGACTGTCTGATTGAAGTGCAAACTTTCAGATTTAAGTAAAGGAGTTCACAGCTATTTTTTTACATAGTTTCCTAGTTTTAGAGGTTCAAAATCAACAGGACAGCTGACTGGCAAGCAGTTTATAAAAAATAAACCAGGCATTGGTTGAAGTTGATTCAAAGTATTGAGTTTGTATTTTATAGTTGTATATATGAGGCCTATGTAGGGATGGGAATTGATAAGAATTTAGCAAATTCATAATCGATTCTCATTGAGATAAACTCTAAGCATATATCACAGACATTAAATCCATGCATGGTCAAATGTTTGTGCATCCCGGAGGTGTTTGTTGTGATCAGTGTTGGGGTCATTACTCCAGAAAAGTCATTATTGCACATATTACACACAACACTTTGCTTAAAAGTAATGATTTCTTTGAACTGTTCTTTTTCCAGGTTTGGAAAGATTGTACATTACTTAAAAAAATAAAAATTGGATGCACAAATTAGAATTTATTTTGGATTTTCTCTAATCCACTCGGGAAAGTGTTCAAAATGGTAAATGGCCTGTATTTGTATAGTGCTTTTCTAGTCCCTAAGGACCCCAAAGCGCTTTACACA